TCGCACGAGCAGCACACTCGGATGTACTTCAGCCAGTTCCCAGCCCCGCCCTGGCTGGCATCACCACAGAACTTCTCAGTGCCCAGGGCATCGGGAATCTGCAGGAGAAGCACAGGAGAGGGGTCAGCTGGGCACACATGGCAGCCTCGGAGGGGACAGAGGGTTTGCAGGGCACAACTCCAAACTAGAAATAGGAAGGAGAAAGGTAGGGGATGGATGTAATTGATAAAGAGAATTATGACAAGGATAAAATCAGCTCTCAGGCATTATCTGTAGGTGATGGCTGGCAGAACCTCCAAGGACACTGCTCAGAGTGGTTCATGAGTAAAAGGTTCAGGAGTCCAAATATTGTGGAAAACAGCTCTGATACCACAGCTCAAGTAACCAAACTCCTCCAAATTGCACTAATTTGAATGACAAGGTCCTTAACTGCTCATTCTTCCCATCATCTGTTTCATCCTTTCATGCAGGATAATTTTTAATTTCAAACCTTTCAATAAGCTCTCAAACCAGGTCACAGAGCTGTGAGGTTCTATTTTAAAAATCCCTTTACCCAACGCGCTACTTTCATTTATCTGAGTACAGCCTGAGAAATTCACTGGCCACATCTCTGTGGCTGAAGGTGAGATGCAATTTTGGCTGCTGTGAAAAAGAGGAATCCTTCAAAATAAAATCTGTCAGATGTTTAAAGTCCAAGTGGGGAAAAAAAATAAATGAAGAGTTAATTAAGGGGTTGCAGTCCAAAAAGAGTCACTGGTTTGGCAGGAAGAGATTTTTCCTCTCTTAAGGCAGTGGAGTTGGGTGAGAGAACCAGAGGAGATGCTCAGCACTCCAGAGCAACCTTTGGGATAATCCAGTTTGCAATCCACTCAAAAAAGCACATTTTAAAAATGACACAGCACATCCTGAAAACAAGGAGAAGCCCTCTGGGTCCCAGCATAGCAAGGCTCTGCTCCTAAATGGGCCTCCCTGCTCCAGAAACTCCTTTTTTTCCCTGAGATTCACATTTCCCTCTGCCCCAACCAGCCCCTGTGTCAGTGCAAATTACGTCAGTCATCAAAAGCTCTTAACATGCTTTTACCAGCAATTAATTCTCTCAGAATCTCGTGGGATACGATTTTATTTTCCCATCTATTTCAAGACACAAGAAAGAAAAAAAGAAAAAAAGAAAAAAGGTGGGAAATCAAAGGAGAGGAAAAATTAAAGCCCAGCAATGACAGCAACAAGGGGGACAGGTCCAGTTCAGGCTCTCAGCTCCCTGCACTGACATTTCTTGGTCTCATCCCTACCACCAACTCTTCCTTCTCCAGCTCCTTGGATGAAAAGGGATGAGGGAAAATCCCACCATCAGTGCTGGGCTTCTTCCTTCCTCATCAGAGCATGGGACTTGTAGTCACTGAAATGCTGCACTGGGATAGATCTGGTGGGAGAATAAACCTGGCTGTGCTCAGATCCTTCATTCCCTGCCCAGGAACACTCAGGGTCATTCACTCATCCCTAGCTGGACCCTGGAATTTTCTAGAAACACTTGATCATGTCCTGGCAGCATCAAAGGTCTGAGGTAGGTGTTGGTGGCATAGGAATACAATTCTGTGTTGTTTGGAAGTTTTAATTTAAAAAAACACCAAAAACCAACCAACCAACCAACCAACCAACCAACCAACATCAATAAAACCCCTTCTTAATGTGGCTGAACCATTACTGAATTTACTGAAGCTAAAGTATCAATAACTTTTGTTTTATCTCAGGGAGCTCCAGGGACACTGAGACTGCCTAATGCTGGCGAAAGAAAGAGTTTCTCTTGGCTTTTTTGACCCCAAATTGAGCAGCCCAGCCAATCCAGCCCCTCAAGTGGAGACACCCAGACACCAAGTGACAGCAGCTCTCAGGGAAACTGTTTGGAAAACCAAATGAAACAAATAATCGATGCTCAGCTGACCTGAAGGCACTGAAGAGTTTGGGCAGAGTTTGTAGTGGTTTGAGGAACCAGCAGCCCACAAATCTCCCAGTGCCAGCAATTGGTGACATCCAGTGGCCCTGGGAACACAAGCTGGCAAATCCAGGACACACAAATAAAATAAGATCTTTAATTTCTCAGTTGTGTCTTACAGATGGTTCCTTTCATCTTCTAGAATTGTTTGAGAGGACATTTAGGGCCATTGAGCATGGAAGGGACCTTAAAGATCATTTAGTTCCAACTCCCTGCCCTGGGCAGAGAGCTCAGGGAATGTGGAAGAGGTTCCACAGGGACTTGTGTGATCCAGAGAGGAATTTGATAAGAGGATCCATGTTTACCCCTGAAAGAACTTTCTACCAAGGTCGTTGACATAAAAACCAAGAAAGAAAGGATAAATAAGAGAAACCTGCAGCTGCCCATTCTAGGTTCCAGAAAGAAGGAAAGAAATAAGAGAAACCTGCAAGTGTCCATTCTAGGTTCCGGAAAGGAAGACAAATAAGAGAAACCTGCAAGAGTATATTCTAGGTTCCAGAAAGAAGGATAAATAAGAGAAACCTGCAACTGTCTTTCCCATCAGCACTTTGTCTTTCCTGACCAATAAGTAAAGTGTAAATGTAGGAGATTTTTAAGAATGTTAAAAAAGCATGCATGCTATAATAAAAATGGTTTTAAAGTTTCAGAAAATTGTTTTTTTAATTGTCTGCATCTCAACTATGACAGAAGAAAGCCCAAAATTCAGCTGAAATTCGTTTTGCAAGGTCCTGCTCACCAGCTGTGCCTCTGGAGGAGGTTCTGCTGTAGCACGAAATCACCTGAAACTCTGTGGTTTTATCTGCGTGGGGGCATTAAAACCCAAGCTGGGGGTGTGAAATCTGACAGATCAAAACGAGAGAGAAAGAGGTGCTGTGAGAGCCTGAGAACCTGAGCTGCCGTTCTCACACACCCTCGCTACCCTCCACAAACAGAGCCTGGCACCACGGGCCAAAATGGGGACAGCTCCCAGCCATCCATCATCCCTCTGCTGGTATCAACCAGGACCCTCTAAAAATTAATAAATGGGGGGATCAGCTGGTTTAGAGTGCTGCAGGACCAGTTCCAGAGCCAGGGCAGCTCCTGGCACCACAGCCCAAAATGGGGACAGCACCCAACGACCCCTCACCTGTTTACCTGCACAGGAAAACAGGTGTGGATGGTTTTGGGATTAAAGCTGCTGCTAAATCCTGGTTAGAGAGGGACTTAGTTCTGGTTTTAACTGTGAATAAACAGATTTAATAGAGCTGGAGATGCCTGTTGGGGTAAGAGCATCCCCAGGTGGGTGACTGCAGGGAGATGAGCCTTCCAGGAGTGGGATGAATCCCTTTGCTGGCACCCACCAGGACCCTCTAAAAATGGAATAAATGGGGTGATCAGCTGGTTTAGAGAGCTGCAGGACCAGTTCCAGAGCCAGGGCAGCCCCTGGGCCAGCTCAGCCCTCTGTGGCCAACACCTCTAATTAAAGATCAGGTTCACACGCTCGCCGATGGTCGCTATCAAAGTTATTTCACAGCTTAACAACACTGCAGCAGTCACCCAGCACTATCTGCAGTATCTGTTCTTTCTTCTGTCAAATGTTCACACACAGAATAATATTTTAAGTATCTCTTCCTCCCCCCAACCTGAGAAAAAACAAACTGAAAACCTTTTACCACATCTTCTTCCAGTTCAGACCAGAAGGAAATCAGAAATTTCCTCTGGCGAAATTCTGCAAACCAACTGTTTACAAGTCTTTGTCAGTAAGCAAAAAAAAAAAAAAAATTAAAAAAAAAATAAATTCCAGTTTGAAAATGCTCCTTGGATACTCATGAAGCATTGGTTCCTCTGTGTTCTTTTGAAGAATCAAGGGATATCCCATGCTCAAGGACAGGTGGAGAAGGAAAATAAAGGCAAAAAGTTAAAGTTTAGGGAATGGGCAAATTTAAGATCTCAGATTCACCCCACTCCTGGAAGGCACAGCTCCCCACAGCCACCCACCCGGGGATGCTCTTACTCCAACAGGCATCTCCAGCTCTATTAAATCTCTTTATTCATAGTTAAAACCAGAACTAAGTCCCTCCCTAACCAGGATTTAGCAGCAGCTTTAATCCCCAAACCATCCACACCTGTTTTCCTGTGCAGGTAAAGGTTGATATTAGATATTTAGCACCAACAGCAAAAAAACCCAGAGATGCCACAGGAAAAAAACCATTAGATAATGCAGTGTAATTATTAGCAGGACTCTGACTTGGTGGAGCTGACATGGAATTTCTGCCTGTGCTCTGTATCAGTGGAGATGTGTCTCCTGAGAGTAATTTGGCTTAGACATTAAAAGAAGTTGTCAGAGGGAAAAGAGAGGTGAAAAAAAAAGGTGGGAAGAGACTGAAGAGGAGAAAACAAAATAAAATCAGTTTATAATTAGTAATTGGTGCTGGTTTTGCACGTCTATAACCAGCATGTGCTGCTATTCCAGTCAATTTTGGGAAATGCATTTCACCTCTTTAATCCCTTTGGCTCTGAGCATCCCTGCCCCACGGAGCTGGGCTCCCTGCAGGAACAAGATTTGTCCCTTTTTCTTTGTCCCCATGTTAAACCCCAGCAGTCTGGGACAGCCCCTGCCCTGGAGATGTGCTGGAAAAGCAGACTTTCATCTGGCCTGCAGCCTGCAGACACGCTCAGAAAGTTAATTATTGTGAGAGCACTTCCTCTGGCCGCTCTTCCATTTCATCCCTCCCACCCCATGATGGATTTCTCCCCGCTCCTTTTTTCATCACTGAACACGCCAAAACTTCAGTTCATCTTTTCTCCTTCTGCTGCAGATGGTGAGTTCAGTCTTTATTTATTAACCCACGGCACCTCCCAGCGCTTTTGTCCTCAAATCCAACAGCTCATCTAAGAATTCCCAACTCCCCTTCCCTTCCCTGCCAGTAACAGTGCCATGATTTTGTCTGGTGGAGTTTCCACAGAGCTCTGCTTGCTCTGAAGTCCCCCAGCCTCCTCCTCTCCAGTCTATCCCCTCCAAACAAATGCACCTTCACGTTCCCTGGGATTACAGGGCTTTGACTGGCCCTCTGCAGAGACGCGGATTTGGGACGCAGAGCCAGCGCTCCGGCTGTGCCTGTGCTTCAG